GGAAGAATCAAAGGAAATAGACACTCCTATTGCAACAGCCACAAAATTGGACATAGATGAACCTGGTTCATCTGTTGATCAGAAGTTGTATAGGGGTATTATTGGTTCACTTTTGTATTTTACTGCTAGCAGACCTGATATTGTTTTTAGTGTAGGGATTTGTGCTCGATTTCAAGAAAATCCAAAAGAATCCCACTTGACTGCTGTTAAGAGAATATTGAGATACTTGAAGGGCACTACTAGCCTTTGACTTTGGTATCCAAAAGGTAGTAACTTTAACCTAGTGGGATATGATGATGATGATGAATATGCAGGTTTCCTTATGGATAGGAAGAGCACCTCAGGTATGACACACTTCTTTGGTTCATGTCTAGTGTCATAGGCTACTAAAAAGCAAAATTCAGTAGCCTTACCTACTGCTGAAGCTGAGTACGTTGCTGTTGCTTCCTGTTGTGCTCAATTGCTGTGGATCAAACAACAGTTGATGGATTTTGGTATTAAAGTTGGCTGCATCCCTATTTTCTGTGATAACACTAGTGCTATTAGTATGATTAAGAACCTGGTTCATCATAAGAGAACTAAGCACAAAGATGTTAGACACCATTTTTTGAGGGACAACTATGAGAAAGGACTGATCACTAAAGAATTTTGTACTATTGATAAACAGATTGCTGACATATTTACAAAAGTACTGAGTAGAGAAAGCTTTAAAAGGAACAGGTTAGAACTAGGGATGATTAAGATCACCTAATGGAACCAGTTCAGAATGCACAATAAAAAAACGAAAAATAATTTTTTTTGGTTAGGAAATCTGGAACTTGTGTAAATATATAGATTAATATTTACTCAGTCTCATACTGTAAATAGTATACTCCTGTGCCATGTATTGATATGACTCACTGATCTCTAATAAAATTTATTCTATTTTGGCAAATTAAGGCATGATCAAGAAGATTCTTAGTGAAGAACCTGGTTCATCTGAATAACAAGGTATGTTTTCTACACTCGGCACAATTAGAAATATTAATATTTAATTCATGAGCAAAGTCCTACCTATGTTCAAAAACTTTAAAAACCTATCATTTTGAGTTTGAACCAGTTCCGTTTCAATTAGACTCCTCACCGTATTAAAATGCCTAGATTCTAGGGAAGATTAACCGCCTATTCAACTTGAAATTTAAGAGTTATTGGACTTCTATTTGAATACAAAAAGCTGCCGTTGGACATTAATTAACCTTCTCCCTTTAAAATCCATCATCATCATCACTAGCACTCCCATAATACTCAAAACCGTCAAAATTCTTTCTATTCTCTATTCTTCTTCTTCTAACACTTTAATCAAAATTTTCTCCCTGAATTAACGAAGATAACCAACCCCCAAGATAACCCTGGCACACCTCCACCACCTACCCCCTCCGATTCCTCCAATACTCCTCAACCTAGCACAATCCCCAACCTAGAAAAAGGTGAGGGAAGATGCTTACTCGCAAAACTGTGGCTACAGGTGCGCTTTCAAGAAAATTAAATGCAAAATTAAAGGCTAGTCAAGCCCAAGATTCTGAAAATTCTGATGATTCTTTCAAGTTTGCGAGTGAGTGGGAAGGAATTGGGTCTTCTGATTCTGAGTAGGAAACATCTGTGCAAAATCCCCCTTGTGAGGTACGTTCTGTTCTAGTTGAAAAATTGGAGAATTGTTTTGATTTGGTTGGGTCCGTTGTTAATGTGGATATGATTGAGTCAAGAAGGAGAGGAGGTAAAAATAAAAGAGGAAAAGAAACTGAGAGTGAGGCTGTTCATAGTGATGTGAGGGGAAAAGGAGAACTCCAACACCAAAAGTTCCTGGCACTGCAAGAACCTCCAAGAAAAGGAAGGCTGCTTCTCCAACAACTACTGATATTCCTCTACCAAAAGGAAGGGGCACAAGAAGTAAGTTGAAGTAGAGTTAGGATGAGTTGCAAAAAGATATGGAAGAAAGTAAGAAGAGAAGAATGGATAAAGAGAAAGCTAAGATAGGAGAGCCTGTTGAGGCTATTGATGTGGATGAGATGGACCCGGTCCATCAAGGTGAACATGTGAATGTAGAGGTGGAGGTTCAGACCTCTAAGCCCTAGAAGACCAAGACTTCCTCAAAGAAGTCTTCATCTATATCCAAGTCTGCTGAACTCTCTTCTTTGGCTAAAAGAACAAGGTCTACTGTGAAAGCCAAGCAAGTCAAGATTACTGAGGAAGAAGATTGGAGTGGTAAAGAAGAGGGTGAATCTGATAATGAACAAGATAAGTTGGCCAAGTTTAGCAAATGAACCATCTTGAAGGGTTGACTTTTGAAAGATTTAGAGGAACCAGGGATAGTTCGGCTGGTTGATGCTCTAGCTATTCAGGGATGGAAGGACATGGTCCTTCAGTTGGATGGCAGGCTGGTGAGAAATGAGATTATTGAGTTCATGGCCAATGCAGAGGTCAAGTATGGCAGAGTTACCAGCCAAGTGAAAGGGGTTCAGGCGACTTTTGATGCAAAAGAGCTGGGTGAAATCCTTGACATTCCTTCTAAAGGGTATGATGACTACACAAGGCAAAAATGACCAAGTTTGGACTCCCTTTTTACTGCCCTAGCCATTACTAAGAAGTTCTGTGATAGCACAAAAGTGAATGAGGCAAAGGTCGTGTATAAAAGTGAAATGAAGCCATCCCACAAAGTCTTGTTTGAGTTCGTCAACAAGTGTTTGCTGCCTAGGCAGGAAAGAAGGCATATTGCCAACTACATGGATTTGGTTTTGATGAAGTGTCTGGAAAGTGGGCAGCAGATCTACTGGCCTAGGTTTATGATCAAGCTACTTGATCGAGTTATCAATGGCTTCAAGGCCCATGCCACTCCTTATGGTTTCATTCTTACTACTGTTATTGCCCGTTGTAAGGTGCCACTAAAAAAGTGGGAGATGGTCACAAGCAAAGACCATTTTGGAATCAATACTATGATTGCTTGTGATTATGAGGTCAATGCCATTCCCATTGAACCCAATTCATCTACAAAGACACCTATCAATAGAAAGGTCAGAGCTCTATTGCAGAAGAGTGGGGCAAAGGATGCTGAGATAGCTAGGCTGAAGACTCATTTGGCAGAGGTTGAATCTGAGAGAGATGCTCTCAGAACTGAGCTCACAAAGATAAAGTAGAAGAATGATGGCATTTTTCAAGACATGCTGCACCTTCTCCATGCCCAAACCCAATCCTCTAGTTCTTCCAAGACTTAATTTCCTTAGCCTTCATTTCCTGAAACTTGTCCAGACCTTTCAGTGACCCAGATTAGGGATTTTTCTTTTTTTGCTCATGTTTTAACTGTTTTTGTTTCTTTTTGTGGATTGTGGCAGAATCATATTCTCTATCAATGAAGTTTGATGTTGTTGCTCTTGATGACTGTTTATTTTCCTTGATAGTTTGAATACTTGTAGTTGATTACTGATGATTTATCCATGAATGCATTTGCAGTTGCCCCAGTGGCCATGAGTAATTTTTAAATCTAGGAATCACACTTTTTATGCAACTTTTCGATGATGCCAAAAGGGGAAAAATATATTGTGCTTTATATTCTGAATAGTGATGTTTATAACCTAATGAACCTGGTCCTTGATGATAAGTGAAAAATTTCTAACTTTGCATTGATGTTGAGCTGAGTTCTGACAGGGCCAAAGTGTATGAAAAGCCAGAGTTTGTCATCATCAAAAAGGGAGAATTTGTTGGCCCAAGTAAAGGTTAGTTTTGAAGACTAACAAAGGAACTCAGACCTGAACCAGTCCATCCTAGTGGAACACAGATATGGATAGACTTAAGCATGTGAGATGCACGTGAAGGAGATAAACTTAACTTGAAAGAAGTAATATCTCCTGATCATGATCGAAAAGGTTGAATAATGGATAAGGAGAAGCACTCCTTACTCAAAGAGAACACGGTTTAAGAGAATGATGGAGTTAGAGGTTGAGATCAACTAGAACTCTTCCACCAAGAAAGAGTAACATCAGAATTCTAGTCAATCTCTATTCACTAACTCTATAAATATCAGTGTTGTTCTCTTTTACAGGTAACACATAAGCAGAAGTTAAACGTGAATTGAGAGCAAAATAACAAGGCAATTTTGCAAGCAATTTGTGTGTGATTCAAGCGTGCAAACCTGAAGCTACATGAACCAGATAGAAGAACCAGTTCCAAGCGTCTGTCTTTTATTCTAGTTTAATTGTAGTAGGTGTTTTTATATTGTACCTTTCAGCTTTATCTAGAAGAAATTGTATTAGGTGCTCAGAATTTTCAAGTTAGAGTTAACTTGAAGTTGTCGCAATAGTTGAGGCTGTGTGCTACAACGAGATTAGAGTTAGTCCTAGATTTACAAAAGAGTTTTTGTAAATGTAGTTTTTGGCTCAATGATTTTAGTGGAGAGTTTGGAAAAATCCTACTAGAAAGTAGGTCGTGGTTTTTTCACCTTTTGAACCAGGTATTTTTCACGTAAAATCTTTGTGTTCTTTAATTTCTGTACTTATTATTTCGCAATAGTAGTAGTTGAAACACATAGAAGAACCAGGTCTTTTTATAATCAGGTTAAGCGAAAATTGGACACCACACAAATCACCCCTCCTATGTGGTATTGAAGTGTAAAACATCATAAAGAGAATAATTGGAGGAACGAGTTTTTCTATTTTAAACTCTTGACAGAGATTAACGGTACAAGGCTGCAACCACTGCATATAGCTCAGGTTTGCTCCAATAAAACTTCCTTCACCTATCTAGAATGTCACATACCGCCACCCTCCCCACAAATGTAATCGGTAAGGTACGTATCCCATCCTATACCTTATTTTAGTGTATCACAATATATAGCAAAGAGTCCATCGAACCTCCCATCACATGAATTCCAATTCTTAAATAATCTTGAGGAGCAGGAAGACCATAGTAGTTGAATTGCTCACTATGCATGAATGAAAAAAGAAATTACACACAATGGTCATAAACCTGACCTTCTGAACTACTTCTTTATCAATTGTACTCTTGTCTAAATCGGCACGTGCTAGTGAAAACAAAACAAGCGAAACAGCTAAGCTAAGAACCATATATGCAGCACTAAAGTAGCTGGTAATAAACTAGCGAGACACATGTGCTAGGAACCATATAGACAGCAGGAAAGTAGCCGATCCAACTAATAAGGTTCTTGGAGTCGTGTTCACCATCAAAGACAGCCTTGATACTGTTAACTCTTGCTTGCCACTTATCATGCTCAATGGCCCATTGAAAACCCTACCACCTCGTCTCAATTTCTCATCATAATCTCCTATCAATTAAGCTCTATCGTTGATCCTATTATACATAACAAGAGGTACCTGAACACCAATTATGGGGACAACCACAGAATAGCGAGTGTCAACAAATGCAGCAAACCAAGCATGCATACCTGCAAGGCAGAATGTATTTGAACTTGATGTTTATACTGTTAAGTAAACCTCCTAATTCACTGGTCAAACCTCCAAGAGATTCGCCAGTGATTCCTATATTTGATGGGTCAACATCTTCCCTCAGAGTAAGATAATCTGCCAGTTTTATCAAGTCCCAAACCTTCAAAACTCAGCAAAAGATATGCTCAGAGCTCCGAATCAACTAATAATCATGCGGTACGAGAATAATAACCACATTTCACCAAGCTTTCTCAAATGGAAGAATCAGGTTAGTTTCTTCAATAATTACCGTATCAAATATGAACGGCATCGTATTGCCATTTTTCCATGATGACACAAGGGCCTGTACTACAGAAAGAAGAAATTAGCAAGATCAAGTCAACCACGTACAGTGGTATTCAAGCACAATTGGTTAGACTCATTGTCACTGACCCGGAATTCCCACCTTGGGGATCGTGATGGGGCCTAACATTCACTTGCTAGGCAAGCCACAAGAATTTTAACCACTTCGAACAATTTAACCAATTAAACAGAAATAAAGTCCAAAGTGAAATACGAAATAGTGTAATAATCCAATATGTAGTTCAACCTATACGTTGTTGGACTGTGCTAAAGCCTTTGATTTGGTGATTGCCAACTCTTATTTTCCGAAAAGGAAGGAGCACTTGGTTACATTCCAGAGTTCGTTGGCCAAGACTCAAATTGATTATCTACTCTTCCGGAAGTGCGATAGGAGTCTGTGCATGGATTGCAAGGTTATACCCAGCAAGAATTTCACGACTCAGCATAGATTATTGGTGACGGACTTAGATATCGTGAGGAAGAGGAGGTAGAGGGCTGTGTATGGACAACCCAGGATAAGGTGGGGTGCTTTGACTAGTGACAAAGCTCAGGAGCTTTTTTTTTGGGGG